CTCCTCGCGTGCCTTGACCTGCTCACGCTTCTCCTGCGCCACGCGCGCCTGGCGTCGTAGATCCCCCAGCCAGCCTACCCATTCCGTCTCGCTCCGATCGCCCGCCCCCTGACGGCTGTCGTCATCGGTGTCCTCATCGTCCTCTCCATTCAAGAACTCCAGGTCACCCGACACGTCCGAGTCGTACCCGTCCATGCTCGTCGACTGCTGCACGCGCGGCGCGCGTCCCCGCCGCTTGCCCTTTTGTCGCACGGGCGACTCGTGCAGCCACGCCGGGTCCTCGGCGGTGTCTCCGTTCCACAGCACCCACTCGACCGCCTTGCCGATGCGGCCCATCCCCGCGCGGCGCGCGCGCTGGAGGACCGTCGTCCGCCATTCGGGGAAAGGGAGCGCGCCGAGGGAGAGGCCGCGGGGTGGTATGCGGAGGTGCGCCAAGGACGGCGGGTGCCGTAGCGGCGGAGGGACATCGTCCTCTGTCTCCTCGTCTGGGTGCGCTGAATGCGGCTGCGGTATTAGGTCGCCCGAGCCGACCGGAAGTGACTCGACAAAAGTTGACTTCGGCAGCGTATGTCGATGTAGTACGCGCATGAGGGAGACGTAGGCTGTATATGCGATGTATGAGAGAGGATTTGGAGCGACAAAGTAAAACAAGTACCAGAATCGTCTTTGAGGTCGAGAGCGAGGAATTCGGGATCTGGGCGCTTACGTGTGCGCTTAAGCTGCAGCCTGCGACGAGCCGCCGCCTGGCGGTTGTCGTCGCTGCTGTCGTGAGCGAAGACAGGGGAGGAGAGGGCGGAGGAAGAGTCGGAGTCATTTAACGGGGAGGATGCGCGGGTGGAGAGATGTGAGCCGGGTTGCGCATTGAAGCGGGCAAGGAGGAGGCGAGTCTTGGTGGACGGAATGGCAGCGGTCGGAAGCCCAGAGTTGGTAAGCTGAAGGAGATCTGACAGAGCAAGCGTGTGAATGAGACGATTCTGTTGGTGCTAGTAGTAAATATAATGCATTGAACTAAATAAAGTTAGACGCGGACCTCATCCCGGCACAGATATATGTTGCCCTCGCGTACGACAAGCCAGCGTTCACGCCATTCGAGCACACGCGTCTCCAGCTGCCGGACCTTGTAGAGCGGGTACGAGTCATCCTCGTCGTCGTTTGGCCGCATACGCAGGACGCGGACCCAGCCCTCCCAGTATGCGTCTAGGTATTTCGTAGAATTGGCGCGGGGGAGAGTTACAACAACGCCAGCGCGATGCAGTTCAAGCAGCTCGTGTGTCTGCATGTCATAGAAGCTCAGCGGCAGATCATCCTCCAAGAGTTGGCCAGTGGAAAAGCGAATAAGAGTAAATTGCGAGAAAAGATCGCCCTTTGTGGACGTTGACGCGGTAGGGAGAATCGCGCGCTTTTTCGGCAGCACAGGTGGGAGTATCTCTTCTTGTGGTGGTTCTGGTTCAGGATCGCTGAGTTCGTCGTCAGCTGGCTGGATTTCGAACTCGCTCGCGCCGTCTGGTGTCGCCTTTGACTTTGGCATAGCAAAAGTGATGGGAGATATTGGGCGATGCCTTGGATCGGGGGCAAAGGTAATGGGGGACGGGGGCCGCGCGGGCTTGCGAGTAGACTGGCGCAGAGGCGGAGACGGCGGTGCAGCATAGGGCAGACACTTGGAGAGCAGCCAGGACTTTACCTGCTTCACTTTCCAGTCTGGATCGATGTGTGTAGTGAACCATTGGTCGTGGGGAACTGCATAGGGTAAGTAAATGCTCCGACCCACCCATAGAAAAGGTCAGAATACGCACTGAATCTGCAGGCGAGGCTCAGCAGCGGCGACGCTGAGCTGTCGCTGTCCATCGCAGGACTATTTGCACTCGTTGTCCACAGAGCCCTATTGACCTTGACTGTAAACACGTCAAAATACCAGGGACAGGAACGCGCGCTAAACACGGTGTTTCAGTCCGAAAAAAAAAACTGAGCCTGGAAGTGAGCCGAAGATAAATGTCTACAGCTTTCCTGCTGAGGAGGGAATTTTTTGGTCGACAACGGGTGGTAAATGATTATCAGTCCAAGTTCATTACTTTTAGACACTGCATGGACATGGGAAAAAAATTCTGGGAGTGGAATTGACTTGGAATCACACGACGGCAGATGGTGCGAGAGCGCCTGAGGGCGCCTAAACGGGCAGGCCCCTGTGCATCTCCCGTAGCTTCCTCCGGTCCATGGGGAAAAATATCGTTACGCGCCTACGCAGTGCCTACGCCGTAAACCCGCAACCGAGTCCGCGGAAGAGCATCATCGTATCAGTCAATGGAGAATAGAGAAAAACAACACAGGCGGATATAGCTGTTATCCACCGATGAATTAATCAGCGAAGTACAGGAGTTATCAGAGTTGCGAATGGCACGGAAAATCAAGTCAAAATACAGAGAGCAGTGCCTTCAGCAGCTGGAATGATGAATTCAAGGCAACTGTCGGGTAACTTCCCATTGACAGCGGAAGGACCTTGAAATATATTACACACTCGAGGAAATCAGCCAGGTGGCTCGTGGCACACAAAATCGGAAACCCCGTCCGACGTCATTTCCCACCCTAACGAAATCCCGAGGCCTCGGCAGCCTGAGAGATTGTCCACACGTCGCGTCGAACCCAATTGAATGGCGGTGCAGAGTCAGCTGATCGCGCAGTTGAATGATCAACCGTGGGCATGTAAAACTAAAGTCGAAAGAAATTAAATAAGAGAGGAAGGGAAGCCACATTGACCCTCGGGAAAAAAGCAGCAGTGTTTCAGCCCCCAGTTCCACACCACGTTGTTTTCAAAAAAAAATTGCACTAAGGGACGCGGACAAGTCCAATCTCATTGTCAACCGCGTAGAACGCGGCATTAAAAAATCTGAAATAAAGGGAAGCAAGTTGGCAAAGCAACGTCCTCGTAAAAAGGCCCGTGCATGATCCGTGCGTGTGTTTCAGCACGCAGATTTACAGCACTGTTTTGTTTTTCTTCCCCAATAGTCAGTAGTTCTAGGCCTCGGACCGACAACCGTCGTCGCCCACAACCTCCTGATGGGCAACCGACCCCCATATCGCGGTACCCGTATTTTTCTTTCGTAATCGGCGCCGTTTCGAGGCGGGCCCACCCGAATCTGCGGGAAGAGACGGTTGAGTCATAACAACGAACTCAACGAATGAGTGGGAAAAGTTTATCGATAGCAGATTGAAAAACAGCTACTTGCACCGCGCCGATGTGCAAGTTATAGCCTCCGGCCTTAACTGCATACATCGTATCAAGAATTCCCAGCAGTTCCAAGTACTGAATCGTAAGACATTTATGCAATACACGCACCCGATGCCGCTCCGCCGACCTTTGTTTCGTCAAACCTTAATGTACATATGATTGGATTGTTGGTTGAATAAACCAACGAAAAAGCGCGATCATCGGGCATATTTTTCTGGCGTTGATTTTATTTCGGAACATGTGGCTGTGCAGTTGGGTCCAAACACTTCCACCTTTCTGCTTTCTCGAAGACCCGAGACTCCGGAGTAGATAACAATAGTATCTCCAGTAATTGCAGAAACGCCGTGGTCTAGTATGTACGTAGTAGAGAAATTGCAGGGAAAAGGATATTCAGATACTGGTTGCTACATCAACAAATGCACCTTTATGGGGCTGCAGTCTCAGCACAGAGCCTTCAAGGCTTCTGGACTCCGTCCATGTTTAGAATAAATTGGATCATTAACCCCGTCGGCACCCTCCCTCCGTGATCAAGATCCTCGTGCAAAAGTATATGGATATGCTCTCGGCGGTCACCACCAACCGAACTCTCGGGGCACTTGTAGGACGCGCGGCCGACCCTGTAAACCAGCTATGTTTTTTTTTCCCATCTGTGGCTCACTCCGCTCCAGCTAATTAACTCGCTCACCCACGATTCCCAAGGTCTTCTCGCAGGGACAAAACCCACATTATTGACACATCGCGGACTGAAGGAGTCGGCGCCAGCGACGACGATGTGGGGGAGGAGGTTTACATGGGTGATCCGCAAGGAGGCGAGCCTTCAGGATCGCTTAAGGACGCTTAGAAATTTTACTCCGAACCGTTCAGCATGCGATCGTCAACATCCCCACTACCTGGGAAATCGGGTCTTTCTCAATCTCCGCCGCCTGCAGTTTGGGAAAACTCTAATTCTGCGTTCTCAGTAAATGGACAGATACGGACACCCGGCAAATCAGAGCTATGCAATTCCTGACTTTGGATTCCCTCAACGAGCATCATGAGATAATAATGATATGTGTATTCGTCTTCTTCTAAAGCACATCTCCTGTTCAAGCTTGATTCAACTTAAACAATCTGTTTCAAATTTCTCGCTAGGCTGGTACCGGCATTCCTGCAAGTTCCAGTCTGGGTGCTTATGGATCGAAACTGGTGTTACTCCGAGTCAATTCAGACGATTGCGAAGCCGAAGCGGACCTGTATTGTATATATCATCCCTTGAAAATTCAATTCATTGGTGTGCAGAATCCGTCTTATTAATACCGAGCACGTATTCGAATTTGATCGAGACTAAACTCTTCCTGGGCTAGATGTTGAAGTTGCGCAAATACTTCTGTGTTTACAAGCGCTGCGGCATTTGATAACTGCGCGGAGCCCACGGATCAGTTTTTAGGAGGGGCTCCTGGAAGCGGGGTAGTTTCCTGCAAATATGATCCCGCGACTCACCGCGAAAGGAACCCGAGCTGCTTCGACAGATTTCAGAGATTTAACTAAATGGCCGGAATATTCCTACGGTACCCATACACTGCTGTTCTATTTTATCCATTTTGTAAATTGTCAGAGTTTGTAGTTTGTCTCCGATCTTGTTAATAGGTATCGCTGGAAATCAAATGACAGAAAGAAGAAGAAAGTGAAAAATAAATAAAAACAAAAACAAAAAGTGAAGCACAGTATAGCATGAGGACGAATGCACTGCTGCTTCTCGCGGGTGTATCGCATAGCGAGCGACCCGGCAGCTCGTGAGTGTCACCAGAGGGAATCGAACCCTCGACCTCCCGCTTCCGACATTTGAACGGTTACGGTCAGTTTACCACTGGACTATGGTGGACACGAAGACCTCACAGTTTCCAGTTGTGGAGTCAAACTTCTAAACGATGTTGCGATGTTGCGATGTTGTGGAACGGAACGCATCAGATCAAGGGAAAGAAGATTGTCGCGTCAGTGGCAGTGCACTTGATGACCGCAGCTACATTCGATCATGCGCAGATTCTGCCAAGTCTTTCACCTTTCTCCGTAATAGCGCAGCTCTTTCCCGACCGCTTGAGTCTCCGCTACCAGTGTGGGATGGGGATCGCCACACACCTCTTGATGGGCTGGGACAAAAGGGCCGAGTCGCTGCCCGATCTTCCTGGCAAGAGTAATAATGTCGATCATCTCGTCTCCATCCCATCGAAAGTCATCTCGCCCCGGTGGCAAAAATATCTTAACCTTTACTCTAGCAAGATTGACTTTAACCCGCACTACATACCGGAAATGTCTGACAATTCCGACGATTATTGCTTCGCCACTTTAACGACAATCGACATATTTGGCGGCACCCTCTGGACAGACGGCAAGTTACGCCCGAAGAAGAGAAGAGTTTAATATGGTACAACGATTCAGTTATGAACGAGTGCCTTTTACACTGTTCCATTGTTCGTCTATGTGAGGTGAGTCTCCTCTACTTATACACCTTAACCTAACTGGCGGTGCCCACTTCTGTAGGCAAAAAGCTCATTTCACATGGATTCCGACTTTGACGCGATTTCTGCCCATTTATAGCACAGACACCGTTCTCGTGCCTAAGGTCGACAGCGGCCCTCGCCGTCTCCGGAAATTCAAAGCTTAGACAGGCTTCATCCGCCGATACCGAGGAGGATGGGCACCCGTATTAAAGCGGACAGTTCAACTCCAACCGCGTGGAACGTGATATTATAATAAAAAACCTGAAAGCAAGGGAAGCAGGTTGGCAAAGCAACGCATTCGTAAAAAGGGCCGGCGTATGATCCGTACGTGTGTTTCAGCCCGCAGATTTACAGCACTTTTTTTTCCTTCCCCAATAGTCGGTAGTTCTAGGCCTCGGACCGACAACCGTCGTCGCTCCTAATTTCCTGATGGGCAACCGACCTCCATACCGCGGTACCCGCATTTTCGCTTTCGTAACGGGCGCCGTTTCGAGGCGGCCAAACCGGTGTGAGGAATTTGCGGGAAGCTAAGACGGTTAAGTCATAACAACCAACTCAACGAATGAGTTGGAAGGTCCCATCGACACTATATTTAAATTTCTGGCGGGAGAATGGGACCACCGAGTGGCCGTGATTAAATAGTTATAATGCGAGGGAAGCAGAGGAAGAAAGTATGGGGGAAACGGCTACTTGCACCGCGCCGATGTGTAAGTTATAACCTCCGGCCGTAACTACAGGCATCTCATAATCCCCAGCAGTGCAAGTACAACGTTGAACTGAATCGTCAGGTATTTACGCGACACATGCGCCGCGATGCCGTTCCACCGACTGTCGTTTCGCCAAACCTTAATGTACATATGAGTGGAGTGGGATTATTCAACGAAAAATTAATAGCGCGATCATCTGGCACAAGCTCGAATATTTTTAAGTAGCGTTGAGGTTCTTTTTTGAACATGTGGCTGTGCAGTTGGTTCAAAACGCTTCCACCTTTCTGCCTTCGCAAAGACCCAAGATTCCAGAGTAGATAACAATAATATATGCAGTAGTTACATAAAATTCCGTGGTCCAGTATGTACGTAGTAGAAAATTATGGGGGAAAAATATTCAGATATGTACTGGTTGCTACATGGACAAGTGCACCTGCATGGGGCTCCACCTCCTGAACTCCGTCCGTTGCTCGGAGTCAACGGGTTGCGTCCCGTTACCCCAACACCTCCGGACGCCGGCTCCTAGGTAAAGAAGAGTCAAGTGCGTTTACAGATGAGTATCGAATAGAAGCTTACAGCGCCCCTCGACGGTTTTGGTCTGGTACAGGCCTCCTGCGAGTCGTACTACTCCCGTCAGCACGTTGCAGAGATAAACACGAATGTAACTCACAACGAAGGCCGCCTTCAAGGATCCACCCTCTGTCGTCGGGCTGGGGGAAAAATTCTTCAAACCAAGGCTCTCCTGTCATAAGCCTCGCGTTCAGGATCTGTAAGATAGCCAAAGGAGAGGGCACACCTCCTGAATAAATCCCCGCGCTCCCCCGGCAAAGCTGAACGCGGGTCCAAGGTTGAATTCACGGTGGAAAGCACCCGGAAGCTGATCTCGACCATCAGTGAATCGTGGAACATCTGAGATAATTAGATACATACAGATACGTCCAAGGAGTGGACTCCGGTACGATGTGGGGACGCATCCTAAAAATCTCGTCAGAATACCGCCAAATTTCACAGACCATTCAACGCACGTCGATGAACTCCGCACAGAGGCGGTTCAGCGCCATTGCTCCCGGTCGCTGGCGAGAGGGCCCGGTAGACGGAAAACAGTAGGATTCCGACTCGACCTATGCCGTTCCACTTCATATATGTAAACCGCAACTGCGAATGGGAGGCGCACCAATTCAGGAGACTCCATCACCGTCGCAGCTCCGTCTTCGGCCTCGGGGACTTCAAGAATTGAGAACCAGGAGATCTATTCTTCTGTGAACAAAGCTAACAACAGAGTGACGCTCGTACCTCGGGTTCTGTAAAGTTCATTGGCGACTCAGAGACAGCGCGCACCTGTAACCACGGTGAGCCACGGACGATGGGAAGAATGAAATGGTATACGAAGTGCGGCATCGGATTCTGGTCCTATTTTCAGTGAGATCAAATGCGTTCCAAACTAGGAAAAAGTATGGAACGTACAACAATCTGGGACGCGTTGACGCCGTCGGGGTTGTTCGCATCGAATAATCCGAATCCTGCGAATCGGATGTCTACGACAGAGACTTATCAAAGGGGAAATTTAAACACACGACCACGCGTACTTACTGAGGGTGACGACGGGGCTGGGTTGTATTGAACGAACCATGCATTTAGCAAGAATTGGTGAGTTTTCTGTCTCAAGTTCTTGTTAGTTGACGAACCGCCAGCGATCCGCTGTTTGCTGGTGATCTGGGTCGTCTTGGCCGTCACTTTCACGCTTTTATTCAAAATCCTATATTGTTTTCGCATCTCAAATGTTTCATCACAGGGAAAATCAGACGTACGCTTTCATCGAATGTAAATAGGCCTTGGCGGCGACGCGCACAAGGGGTTCGAGAATAGACCGGAGTAAGAGCGACACGACCTTTGCAGTGTTGTAGCTCAGATCGACCAGCAACGCACCAACAAACGAATAGAATCCGTCCACGGCGGCCTCCCCAAACTGAACAGCGACCGCTGGCCGGAGTTCGCCTGGACCTCAACTAACCCCGCGACCGCGATTGACCCAGACACTGCCGCGGCCCAAAAGCTGACGCGGGATGACTATCGCAAGATCGGCAAATCCACCGCCGAGCATGCGATAGTCCTTATTCTGGGGCAGGATCTGGTAGTGAGGCTCATTTGATACCCGCTGAATCCTACTTGACGCAAGTATCTATCCACAGGCAATTCAGAACGTAGTTCTCTCCTCCAAGATCATCAAATTGATTGTAGATCGAGCGTCTGCCAGGAGTGAGATGAATGCGAAGGAAGCGTACCAACAAATAAGCAGCTCTGTTTTTGAGGCGCAGAACGGCAGAATGTAATTCAAGCTCCAGTGCGACGGGTACTGGAATAAAATGAGTGGAGGGGGTGTACAAATCGAATGGATGGGGCATGTTGAAGTTCGGCCTTCGTGTCAATGGATCCAAGTAGATTCAGGATGATGCGGTGCAGGAAAAAAAAGAATAGATACAAAGAGGAATCAAACGGTCTACACCCAAACAGAATAAAGCTTTCCTTATCCCATGCTTGGAGATATATGGACTTGAGGAGGCGGTGCATAGTCCGTGATGGTGAATTCGAACCCGAGAGGGACGGGGTGAGCGCAGACTTCTATACGAGTGGCCAGAGATGAACGGATGAAATGACACAGAAACACCAGTCGAGTCCATTGGAATACCAAGTACTCCCAGATTAAACAGAGCCTGGAGTCCAGTGTATCGGGAGCTCCCGCCGCGGTGCTTCAGGCACAATAATACAGTAAGTGGGAGGAAACAGAGAAGAAAGATTGAAGGAAGAAATGATACAGAATTTTATTCCATCTACTTCTTCTCGGCCTTGTCAACAGACTTGATGATACCGACAGCGACGGTCTGCCGCATATCACGGACTACGAAGCGACCCAGCCGGGGGTACTCATTGTAGGACTCGACACACTGAAAGCCGCGTTAGGTACACACAAAGACGCGCTTTGAAACATGTGAACCATACCATGGGCTGACTGGGGACAAGCTTGACAATGCACGAGTCGCCGCTTCTGATGAACTTGGGGCTGCGCTCAATCATCCTGTTTGTGCGGCGATCAATCTTCTCGACGAGCTCCGCGAATTTGCATGAAATGCGGGCAGTGTGGCAATGTAGGACGGGCGTGTACCCAACGGCGATTTGACCGGGGTGGTTGAGGACGATGACCTGGGCGGTGAAGGAGGCAGCCTCTTTGGCAGGGTCGTTCTTCGAGTCAGATGCCACGTCTCCGCGACGAATCTCCTTGGCCGACACACCCCTGTTTACGGTCAGATACTTGGTTGACCGACGACATCTATTACCCAAGCTTACTTGAGGCTGAAGCCGACGTTGTCACCCGGACCACCCCCATCCACGAAGCGCTGAGGGTGCGTTTCGATGGCGTTGACCTCAGCGGTGACGCTGGAGGGAGCAAAGGTGACGACCATGCCGGCCTTGATGATACCGGTCTCGACGCGCCCAATGGGGACTGTGCCAATGCCCCCGATCTTGTACACATCCTGGAGGGGGAGACGGAGGGGCTTGTCGGATGGCCGTATTGGCGGCTCGATGGCGTCAATAGCCTCGATGAGGGTCTTGCCCGTGACGACACCGGCCTTGGTCTCCTTACTCCAACCCTTGAACCACGACATGCTGGAGTACCAAAAT